ATAGTAAAAATATTTCACAATATTACTGCTTTTGCTGTATTTTGGATCAAATAAATGCAGGCTTGGTGAGCAGAGGAGACATCTTTAAAAAGCATTAAAAATCTTACTGTTCAAAAACTTCTGACTGGTAGTGTATAGGCCTATCATATATATATTTAAATGAATCCAAAATGCCGCTGCAAGATTAATCTTTAATGAGCCGAAAAGTACGCACGTCACACCTATATATGTATATATATATATATACACCTTGCTACGTGTACTGCGTTAGGCTAACCGAGACCTGTCATTTGCACATATATTGTTGCTCTTTTGTTAGTTTTGACTGCTTTTATTGTTCTCATTTGTAAGTCGCTTTGGATAAAAGCGTCTGCTAAATGACTAAATGTAATGTAAAAATATATATATATATAAATGGTGGTGGGCCGCCTGGACCAAAAAATGCCTGGGCCGATTTTTTGTCCCAGTCCAGCCCTGGTCATGGGTGAGCGGAACGGAGAAGTCAGGAGAGAGCGAGCGACAGAATCCACCCACCCTGCCGCAAATGTAATCAGACGACATGGCAAACAGGGCCAGGTGTAAATTTACGTAGGCATACGGCATGGCAAACGCAACAAGAGACGTTAATTTTACCGCAGAGATAAAGAGATGAAGTTAATTAAAATGCTCCGGCTCTAATCACTGGAGCACAGCCGCTTTAAAGAGAAAAATACATGCCTTGTCAAAGTGTGTCAGCGCTGGAGAGAGAGGAAGAGAGCATGCTGTGTTCCTCTCTGGAAACTGGGAATGAATTATCTAATCAAAGATAAATTTGCTTGGTGAGCAATAGCCAATCAGATACTCAGATGGTGTGCCGCAGAGCTAAACACTGTAGGAGGTGAGATACTTTAATAAGCTAATTTGAGCACATCTGAATTCATCAGAAGGACAGCATGTATTAGATATGAGTGCATGAGTGGTGCCATTGATGGTGCTTACAGGTGTACTGCCTTATTATTTTTCTGTGCCAGGATTTCGAGGCACCTAGCAGGTGATTTCGAAATAGGATTCAGTAGATAAGCATGACAGTACAAAAATCGACATTTGCTTAAAGTTGGAGACAAGAGGTGGGAGCAATTCAGATTATTACAAATCTTTCAACTATTTTTTGATATAAAGAAAAAAACATTTGTATGTACAATGTGTATCTATCTATCTATCTATCTATCTATCTATCTATCTAGCTAGCTAGCATTCAGAAAGTATTCAGACCCCCTTCACTTTTTGTCTGATTTATGATGCAGCCTGAAACAATTGTTTATCAATAAACTCAATTTATCAATTTTTTTCTCATTAATCTACACTCTGTACCTCATAATGACAAAGTGAAAACAGAATTTTAGAAACGTCTGTAAATTTATTAAAAAGAAAAAAACGAAAATATCACATTTACATAAGTACTTAGTTGAAGCACCTTTAGCAGCAATTACAGCTTCGAGTCTTTCTGGGTATGAAGCAACAAGCTTTGCACACATGGATTGGGGGATTTTCTGCCATTCTTCTTTGCAAATCCTCTCAAACTCGGTCAGGTTTGATGGGGACTGTCAGTGGACAGCCATTTTCAGGTCTCTCCAGAGACGTTCGATAGCTTTCAAGTCAGGACTCTGGCTGGGAGTCAAAACACACGCGAGAAGTGATAAGACAATAACGCGAGAACCCGAGTGCGTCAGACCGGAGTTCTCCAGCGA